GAAGGGTGCGTAGTGTGGAAGGTTTGGCGGTGAGTGAGAATGACTCAAAGAAGTCCAGTCCATGCTTTTGGGTAAATCCCTTGGCACAATACCAGGCTTTGAAGACAGGAAATTCGCCTGGAAGTTGTTTCACCCGAAAAAACTCATTTTCCCTTCAAAATGTTGACGCCGGAGGGAGGAGAGACGTCTGTGAAAGTTCCTGTGTGAATGAAGGCCTCACATTCTGCGACAATGGCCCCCAACCAATGGGCGGCGCGAGGACCAGAGACTGCTTCAGCATAAGTGAGAGGTGTGGGGATGGAGGGGTTGTCGGAGAAATTAAGAGTGGGAGAGTCTGCGATATCTGGAAAGAGGACGCAGAGCGCGTGTATGGCTGAGTTGATATCAATCAGCTCCTCATGTCTGTCTTCAAGGAGGGAGGGCATGAGAGAATAATCACCCCCGACAGGAGGAGGATTGAGGGAGACACGAACGGAAAGGGAGAGCGGCTTTGGAGCTTTATGAGAGCGGGTGCGAGAAGCGATGGGGGAGGGAGGCGGAGCGGGAGGAGGAGTAGCGATAGGTGAAGTAGGAGTGGGATCAAGAGCAGGATCAGGAGCTGGAGTAGGAGCAGGAGCAAGAGGACGGCGGTGGTAGGTTTTGAGAGGAGGAGGCTCGGAAGGAGGAGCGGAAGCAGGATCAGGAGCCAGAGCGGGAGGGGAGGAAGGAGGGGGAGCCAGTGGGGGAGGGGAGGGGGAGGGAAGGAGCGGAGGAGACTGCGTGGTGCTGGAGGGGGAAGTGGGTGGTGGCGGGTCAGAGACGGTGGAGGGAGCGGGAAGAGGAGGAGATGGAGTGTTGGGAGGAGGAAGGCTGTCAAAGTCAGCCCAAGTAAGAGAAGGAGGCGGAGGAGAGGGGGAAGCTTTGGAGGAGGGATACAATGGGTGAGATTCATCAAAGAACACGTCCCGGCTGCGGTAGAGTTTGTTGGTGGAAGGATGGAGGAAGAGATAGTCTGGCGAATCTGAGTTGTGCCCGAGGTACACGCACGTGATCGTTTTGGGAGCAAGTTTGCCGCCAGCTGCACGACGGGCTTGGGAGTTGAGGAGAACATAGGAAGTGCACCCCCATACACGCAGAGGGCGGACGGACGGCTTTTGACCCGTCCACAGCTCAGCGGGGGTGGTGTGGGTGTGATGAGGATGAGGATGGAGATTGTAGAGGGCGGCAGCGTGGAGCATGGCGCACCTCCAAAGAGAGGGAGGAGCGGAGGCGTGAGTGAGGAGGCAGCGAGCAATCTGCACCAAGATGCGGTTCCGACTCTCAGCAACACCGTTCTGTTGGGGACTGTCTGGGAGAGTGAAGGTCTGAAGGATGCCCTCAGTAGAACAGAAAGATTTGAGAGTAATGCTGCGAAATTCACCGCCACCGTCAGAGTGAAGAACCTTGATGGTGGTTTTGAAGTGGTTATGAGCCTGCTTGGCCCATTCGATGATGACGGCTGGGGCTTCAGACTTGGAGGCGAGAAGGTGGACAGACACATTGCGGAAAAGTCATCAATGATGACAAGGAAGTAGAAGTGTCCGCCACGAGAACGAACAGGAGCTGGACCCCAAAGGTCCATGTGCACGTGATCGAAAGGTGCAGTTGAGATGGACTCAGTGGGGGGATGGGGCTGTTCACGAAGCTTGCTCTGTGCATAGTCAAGGCAAGGCGACCCTAGGTTGGAGGTAGGAGAGGGAAGTGAGGCTGGAAGTCCGTGGAGGAGCTGTTTTGTGGCCAGGTCTGAAAGCGCGCGAAAGTTGATGTGGCCGAGGCGGTGATGAAAGAGCATGGTTTTGTCGGGAAGGAGACGGCAGTGACAGGTGGAGGAGTCTGAGGAAGGGAGCGGAAGGTGGGTGAGCGAGCACGTTTGAATGTGAGGTACAGCGAGCGTGTAGATGTTGTAGGAGTCGAAGGTGAAGCGGGCTAGATGAATGCCGGTTTTGGTGTCAAAGAGGTCACAGTAGTCGACATCATTGGGAAAGATGGTGATCACTTCTGCATGTTGGATTTCACGCTGTGCAATGAGGTTATAGCGGAGGGTTGGGGCACAGATGCCAGTGATTCTGCCGGATGGGAAAGCTGGACAAGGAACTGTGGATGACCCATGGCATTGGATGGAGAAGCTAGAATCGGCTTCAAGGAGTGGGGTGGGAGCCTGGTAGGGAACGAATGCGGTTTGGTCTTTGAGTACTGTATGGGTGGCACCACCGTCTAGTATGAACTTGATCCCCTGAGTGTTTGAAACACCGATGTACTGCGACCCCTTCTCATTAATAATACCAGCACCAGAGAACAACAGATTGAGGCGAACATCAGATGGGGCGCTAGCAAATGCCTGAGCAGATTCTTCCACTGCCTCGACCTAGTTCACGCGACGGGGTGGGGCCCAGTTGGGAGGACGCTTGTTGGTGGAGACACCGTGGACGTCATACCACTCATCATCTCGCTTCTTGAAGCAAGTTGCCTCAGGGTGGTTGGTGCCTCCGCATTTCTGCCCTGCACGTGGTCCCTTCCTAATGATGTAGGGGCATGGGGGAAACGAGTTGCGTCTCGGTCCCTGCTGAGGCGGAATGGGATACCAGGGGTGTAGCGCACAGCAATGACGGATGCTTGGGCCGCAATGTCCTTTTCAGCAGAAAGAAGGGCCGATGCAACTTTCTCGAAGGTGAGTTCCTTGGTGGGGAGCTGCTTGAGCATGGAGCTGGTAACATTGTAGGCCGGGGTAAGTCCTACGAGTAGCCCAGCTGCAAGTGCCTGTTCGGGGAAGGTGATCCAAATCTCATTGAGTTCCTCGTGGATGTTACGAATTTCAGAAATGTAGTTCGCCATGCCCGGGCATTCCTCAAGGCGGATCTGGAACATTCGGAGGATGAGGATTGCAACTCCCACTGCGGTCTTGTCATGGAAACGGTCCTGGAGGTACTTCCAGATGTCATGCGCAAAGCGAAAGGTGCGGTAGGATTCGACAAGTTCAACCGGAGTGGTGGTGATGAAAACCCTAATGACTGCCGCATCCGCCTGCTCCCACAAGCTGAAGTCGATCTCATACTGGGTGGTCTTAGCCTCAAATGCGGTCTTGGCTGCGGCAGTTGCTCCTTCGCCAAGAGGATCGGGAGGGAGAGGCATCTTTCCCTTGCCGCGGTTGAGGAGGATGTCCTTGAGTCAAATCCTTTTGAGCTCCGAGCTAAGGAGGTGCTTTTCCACTCCATAGCACCATTCCCCAAAGTTGGTGCTCGTGCCGTTGGGAGCGAGATTGAGAACGATGAGATTTCCGGCGAGGGTGGAAGTTGAAGTCGCCATTTCGCGCGGAGCGCAGCGCTAAGGTCTCCGATATGTAGCGGAGCGAGCGGCTGCGCGCAGCGTGGCGATTTTTGAAATGAAGGAAGTCCGAAACGCAATTTCGATAATACAAAGCCCGGATTCTAGTCTACTGCTCTGCTTCGCCGATGCCCCCTATTCTGCTTCGCTGCTGCCCCAAAACCGCTTCTCTGCTGCGCCGCTGAACCTGTTCTGCTGCGCCGCTGACCTGTTCTGCTGCGCCGCTGAGACCTGTTCTGCAGCGCCGCTGAAACCTGTTCGAAGTTAAGAAATTGGAAAAGATGAGAAATTTCTCGACGGAAATGTGAAATTCCAGAAGCTTACGATGAAAGACGTGGAAGAGAAGGAATCGCCGTAGAAATCGGAAGTGCGCGAAGACGGAATGTGAATGCGCTCTTTAACAGCGCGAAGACGTGAAGTCGGAAAACGCTAGGCGTAGGTGCCGAAAACCGAAAGAATTATAGAAGAAATTAATAGAACCATCACGACGCCAAGGATCGGATTCTGCGTGAGCGGAATTTACTAGCTCGATACCATGATAGAAATGGAGCTGAACTGATTGATTAGTAGAGAAGGCACTAGCACTTAAGTACAAAGAAGGTTGGGTTGAGCAAAGCTAGGGAAAGGATGGGATGGGAATCCTAGCAAATCTCCAATGGTGAGTTGGCAGATTTGCTGGATTACGAGGGAATCCCAACCAGATAGGGTTGGGATTACAATCTACACCCAACCTACAAATAACCTACAAGATATAGAATATAGTACACAAAGTGTTGACAGCCTATTTCTAACAGAGGGAGGTGAGGAGGGAGGTGAGGAGGATCTCTAGCACCCTCGCATACCCCGTGCCTCCCCCTACTCACCTTCACCCTCGCCTATGTCCTATCCCCATGCCCCATGCCTATGCCCATACAGTCGTGTGTGTGCGTGCGTGTGTGTCTCGACCGTGTGTTGTGTGCCTCACCTGCGCAATTTGTTCTTCCTGCACACAACTTTCACGTTCAAGTGGTTGAACAAGCCGCCCAGCACCCCGCCCAGCACGCCCAGCAAGGCAACCGGCACCACCTTCAGCAGCCCAAAGCAAAGCAGCGTTCGTCTGTCTGCCTGCACAGACTCTCTCCTTCTCACCTGTGAAGCTTGTTCTTGCTGTAAGCACACATCTTGACATTCAAATGGTTGAACAGCCCACCGAGTAGCCCGCGCCCACCACGCCCAGCAGGGCAACCGGCACCACCTCCAGCAGCCCAAAGCAAAGCAAAGCAGTGTCTGTGTGTCTTGCTAGACAGTCTTTCCCTTCAATGTGCCTCTCACCTGTGCAGTCTGCTCTTCCTGTAAGCACACAGCTTCACGTTCAAATGGTTGAACAATCCGCCCAGCATCCCGCCCAGCACGCCCAGCAAGGCAACCGGCACCACCTCCAGCAGCCCAAAGCAAAGCAGCGTTCGTCTGTCTGCCTGCACAGACTCTCTCCTTCTCACCTGTTTAGTCTGCTCTTCCTGTAAGCACACAGCTTCACGTTCAAATGGTTGAACAGCCCACCGAGTAGCCCTCCCACCACGCCCAGCAGGGCAACCGGCACCACCTCCAGCAGCCCAAGGCAAAGCAAGCAAAAGCAGCATCTGGCTGTCTGTCTTCCTGCATGGTAACTCTCTCCCTCCTTCTCACCTGTGCAGTCTGTTCTTCCTGTAAGCACACAGCTTCACGTTCAGATGGTTGAACAGGCCGCCAAGCAGCCCTCCCACAACCCCTAGCAGGGCAGCCGGCACCACCTCCAGCAGCCCAAAGTCGGTTCGGGACTTGCTTCGGTCGAACAGAATGAAGCCTCGGGACCCGAAGCTGCCGCCGCACCTATCGCCCTCGCACAGGGAGATGCAGGCTCGGAGAACCATGGCTACCACCGCATTGGTGAAGAAGATTCGCCAGATGAGCGAGTTGCGCCACCTGTGTGTGTGGAGGGGGGGATGGGAATGGGGACAAGGACATGATGGGGTGAGGTTGGGAGAACCATGGCTACCACCGCATTGGTGAAGAAGATTCGCCAGATGAGCGAGTTGCGCCAGCTGTGTGTGTGAGGTGGTAGGGACAAGACGAGAGGATGGGGGTGGGGAGGTTGACAGGGGAGCACGCCAGGCCGGGAGAACCATTGCCACGACAGCATTAGTGCAGAAGATGTGCCCGATGAGCGAGATGCGCCAGCTGTGTGTGTGGAGGGGGGAATGGGGGGAAGGACATGATGAAGAAGGACACGGGTGGGGTGAGGTTGGGAGCAGCATGGGCACGACAGCATTAGTGAAGAAGATGTGCCAGATGAGCGAGTTGCGCCAGCTGTGTGTGTGGGGAGATGGAAGGGTGGGATGAGTTGCACCCTGCATGAGAGTTGAATAGGTGATGCATGCAGCGTGGAAGCCTGGGAGCAGCATGAGATGTGAATCCGCGCATGGTTTTTGAGAATTCTCAACAACTGCCCCATGCCCATGCCCAACGTGCGTGGGCAGCGTCTGATTTTGAGAATTCTCATGGCCACGACTGCGTTGGTGAAGAAGATTCGCCATCCGCACCAAGAAAGAAGCGACCCCATCTCACCAGGAGGTGACTTGCTCAAGGGCGAACAGCACACCGCCCACAGGAGCAAGGAACGCAGCAGCCACACCCGAGGCAGCACCGCACGTCACCAAATCTCTTAAACCCCTGTCGCTGTGCAACCACACCGGTGTCCTTAAAGCCTTGATTGACCCGTGATTGAACAGTCCCAAAGAGGCGATGGAGCTAGCTGTCGGGATCCGCGGCTTGCGCGGACGGCTGAGATCGCGGCGGGCGGAGATCCAATGGCTGAGACGGCCCAGGATGCTGGCGATGCATGCCCCACAGTGCACCAGAGGACCCTCTTTTCCCACCGCCAGCCCTCCTGCCACAGCTGCTATGCTGCCCAGCGCCTGATAGAAGACGGAAAGAAGAAGATTGTCAGGGGGAATGGACGGAGCATGGCTGTCAGATCTCGAATTCGAGTGCGTTAAAAAAATCACCTTCTAACGAGGAGGGTTTAGGTGGAGAAGACAGGAGAGCAGGGGAGAGCAGGAGCATGGATGTCAGAATCTAGACTTGTTGGGACTGTTATCTGAACTTGTTGGGAGGGATTGTTACCTTAACGAGGAGCGTCTAGGCGGAGAGGACAGCAGGCGTGCTGACGCCGTTGAGATACCCTTTCACCTCAGGAATACCAGACCTGTGTTTGAACATGTTGGGACTAATAATTACCTTAACGAGGAGGGTTTTGGCGGAGAGGACAGCAGGTGTGCTGACGCCGTTCAGGTACCCCTTCACCTCGGGAATACCGGACAGGAGCCACAGCAGAATATGCAGGGATTGTCACCTTAACGAGAAGGGTTTTAGCGGAGAGGACAGCAGGCGTGCTGACGCCGTTCAGGTACCCCTTCACCTCGGGAATACCGGACAGGAGCCACAGCAGAATATGCAGGGATTGTCACCTTAACGAGAAGGGTTTTAGCGGAGAGGACAGCAGGCGTGCTGACGCCGTTCAGGTACCCCTTCACCTCGGGAATACCGGACAGGAGCCACAGCAGAATATGCAGGGATTGTCACCTTAACGAGAAGGGTTTTAGCGGAGAGGACAGCAGGCGTGCTGACGCCGTTGAGATACCCCTTCACCTCAGGAATACCAGACCTGTGTTTGAACATGTTGGGACTAATAATCACCTTAACGAGGAGGGTTTTGGCGGAGAGCACAGCAGGCGTGCTGACGCCGTTCAAATACCCCTTCACCTCGGGAATACCAGAGCCCACTGCCTCCATCGCTATCCCGTTACAGAGGCACGTTGAAACGAGTACAAGGCCCAGGTTGGTAGCTGCCATCACCAGGAAGCCTCCTAGAAAGCTGAAGGAAAGAAGGAAGGAGGAAAGAAGAGGGGGGGAGAACGGGGTGGGAGAAGACCAGACTGAACTTTGCACCCCCAATGGCTTCCACTGAAAGGTTGACGAGGAAGGCGAGGGGGCCAGTGCATGTGCCGATGAGCAGCACGAGGACCATACACGGCAAGGCAAACAGAGTTCTAGGAATGACTCACTTCTGGCCTTTGATTTGATGTGCGAGAACACGAGGCCAAACTTGGCCCCGCCAATGACTTCCACTGAGAGGTTGACGAAGAAGGCGAGGAGGCCAGTGCATGTGCCGATGAGCAGCACGAGGAGCACCCTTCTGGGAACGGGAGGAACTCACTTCTGGCCTTTGATGTGGGAGAAGACTAGACCGAACTTGGCACCGCCAATGGCTTCCACAGCAAGGTTCACAAGAAAAGCGAGGAGGCCGGTGCATGTGCCGATGAGCAGCACGAGCAACCATCGCAGGGCGGTGTGGAAGATTCGATCGGCTTGCGTCATTGCCTGCCACTGGCCGTGATGCCACTCTGAGTCGAGAACCCTGAGAGGGGAGCATGCACAAAGAGAGAGAGGCACACAGGGAGATAGAGGGAGGCAGTGAAGAAACGGTGTGAGCAGCACGAGCAGCCATCGCAGGGCGGTGTGGAAGATTCGATCGGCTTGCGTCATTGCCTGCCACTGGCCGTGATGCCACTCTGAATCGAGGACCCTGATGGGGGAGCATGCACAAAGAGAGAGAGGCACACAGGGAGATAGAGGGAGGCAGTGAAGGGTGTGAGCAGCACGAGCAGCCATCGCAGGGCGGTGTGAAATATTCGGTCGGCTTGCGTCATTGCCTGCCACTGGCCGTGATGCCACTCTGAGTCGAGGACCCTGAGGGGGGTGAGCAGATGGGCAGAGGCAAAGGGAGAGACGCACAAAGAGAGCGCTATGAGGAGAGCAGGAGGAGCCAGCACATCGCCATCACCACGCAGATCACCATTTGAGGCGCCCTCAAAAGCCAGCACATCGCCATCAGCACTCACATTACCTTGTGACTCGTCATTCGAATTCTCAAGAGTGAAATTTGAGTCCACCACATCATCAGCTTCGCGAGGTCTCAAAACTTTTGAGACGTCTCGAAATCTGAATAAAAATCACCAGCAATCACCACCATGCGTCACAAACAAGCAGATTCGTCTGGCTGGAGTCACTCTACCTGCTGCACCGCACCAAACCGAGCATCACCACCACCATCACCCGCATTTTCACCATCACCCACATCACCTACTCATCGTCCAAACTCTCGAGATTGTCACTTGCTGCCATAATGCGTGACGAACAAGAAGAATCAACTGGTTGAAGTCACTACTTGCTGCACCGCACCCAACCGACCACCAGATCACCTACTCATGGTCTAGGCTCACGAGGTTGTCACGAGTTACTACCTGCTGCACCGCACCAAACCGAGCATCACCCATATCACCTACTCGTAGTCCAGACTCTCAAGGTTGTCACTTGCTGCCGTGACACGTCTCCTGCTGCTCCTCCCCTCCTTCCCACAGCCCCGCCCCTCACCGCCACAGCTCCTCCCACTGCCGCTCCCACCGCCGCCCAATGCACTATCCAACAAAAACGCATCTTCACGCAATGTTAACCCCTCTTCCTCCTCCTCCTCCCCCTTAGTAACTCCCTTCTGTCCTAGCAGGCTTTGGGTGTCAACACTAATATTCGCCTCGAAAATGGAGGGAATTTCCAATGTTGGCACTCCAGCTTCCGGTCCTTCCAGTCTTTCCAGCCCTTCCGGCCGTTCTCGCCGGAATCCTGTCTTGAGAAAACCGTCAGTTTGGATAACTTCAGATTTTGCAGGGTCGTCGTCAAGTTGACGGAAACCGTCGGAATGGACGGCTAGCCGTCGGGATTCTTCCGACAAAAGTGGCTGCTCGACGTCTTCAGAGATCTCGACCGCTGTTGCTCTAACCATGACGAATAAGACTTTCTGGCGAAGCGCGCTCCGCTAACAATGCTTCAGCGCGCGGAAACCCCCCGCGATGGAAAAGGGCGCGCAAACCAATGCGTCAGCGTGGGGCAATTCGCGACGGGAAAGAGCGCGCGCAAAAAATGCTTCAGCGTGCGGCGATCCGCGATGTAAAAGGCCAAAATCTGCGACGATCGCCGATAGACTCGCCGTGAGTCACGGACCTCTCCCTTTCCGTTAGCGTTAGCGTCACCGTTTAAAACAACGCTCGCGTAATCATAGAGACATTGCCTTCGCCAACGTCATGAACGGAAAGCATGAAAGGACTACTCGTCATCACGATCGGAATCATTTCCTCGAATTTCTAACCTTGCGGACTCGCATCACTAGACGACAACGAGTAGGCTGAAAACGTCGCGACGCGACGGCTCATCTGCGTTCCGTCCGAAACCGTGCAGATAATGTCAAGCCACGTGGCGATGTTCGCAACTTTCGAAAGCAGTCGTCGTCATTCGTCACACGAACGGTATGACGGAGCGAATGGTCCGAGAGCGGCGAATAGCGAAGGCGCAGCAGCGAAGCCCCGAATCATCATATGAGCCGATCGTCATAGACTCATACGGCATACGCACCGCACGCGTACATTCGCATCCATTGCATCCTACCCTCCCCAATGCCACCCCCACGATGGTGACGTCATCATCCGCGGCAGCATCCATAGCGCGGCGCGCTGAAGTTTTAGCAGTCGCAGAGCTGCCGCATCTGCCACCACTAGGAACTACGGACGGACAGGATGAAATGAATCCTCCGCGCGCAGCGAATGAAGGAAACGCGCGACGGAGGGAAATCGTTGGGGAGTCGCAGCGGGAGGCTGCGCAAATAGAAGCTTCCCGCGTTGCGCCGAGGTTTGGGGGTGGGGGCCGAAGGCGCGGCGGAAAGCTGCCACATTTGCGATCCGTCTGGATGCAGTGGATGGTGCTTGAAGGCTGGATGCACTGTAGCGAGTTCCACACTGCTGACTGATTGCCACGTGTACTTCAACATACTCCGATATACGCCTCAGAACGACAACGAGCTAAGGTTATTACACTTCCAGAAATACCGGTACGAATATGGAAGAAAACATTGGAGATGAAGTCGTACATGCCAGCATGCTTTTAGGGAAACTTGGTCCCTGAACTTATCAGGTCTGCTCCTCCCTATTCAATAATAGAGACAAACCATTACTATGATATCTTGTCGCAATAACTCTTTCCAAAATTTCCACCTCAAGCCGCTCCACCTGAACTGCTTCCACCAGCACCCAGAAACGAATTAAACGCCACAACAACATATCGCAGTCACCTTTAGCAATATTGCTTATCGACGTCTTGCCATTGGCCTCTTGGCTTTGAACACTCTCCTTCCAGGCGTGGCCGCACCCGCTCCCATCGAGAACCCTCCAGCAGCAGCAGGGGCCCCACCAAACCCTCTGAGAAGTTACGATATCAGCTCCACTATTCTACCGACGTCTGGCCGTTGGCCTCTTGGCTTTGACCACTCTCCTCCCAGGCGTGGGTGCACCTGCTCCCATCGAGAACCCACCACCAGCAGCAGGAGCCCCACCTCCACCACCACCACCACCACCGCCACCAGCACCAGCTCCAAACACCATAGACGGGGCAGCAAACCCACCACTCCCACCACTCCCCGCTGGCGACGGGGAAGCAGCAGCACCACCGAACGAAAACGGCGCAGCGCCCGGGGCGGCACCTCCAGCTGCAGGCTGCCCGAAAGCAAAAGGATTAGCCCCTGCCGGGGACGGCGCACCTCCGAAAACGACAGGAGGAGTAGATGCAGCCGTTGGCATGCCACCTGGCATGTTAAATCCATTCGTACTTGCTGGTTCCATTGACATTGTGTTCTGTTGCATTCCACCAAAGGGACTGCTGCTCCCAGTGGCTCCTGGGAAGCCAGAGGCTGCACCAAAGGGAGCAGCGGAGGCAGCAGGAGCCGGGGAGGCCCCAAATGCGAAGGCAGCGGAAGGAGACGGAGCGGAGCCAAACCCGAAGGGACTTGCACCTGCTGCTGCTCCTGCTGATCCAGGTGCCCCTGGTGCTGCTGCTCCTCCTCCTCCTCCAAAGGTGAAGGGTGCTGCTCCTCCTGCTGCTGCTCCTCCTGCTGGAGCTCCGAAGGAGAATGGAGCAGGAGAGGAGGCAGGCTGAGATGCAGCAAATCCAAACGGCGATGCTGCTGGTGCAGTTGCTGCTGCCGGAGCTCCCGGTGCAGCAGCGCCGAACGTGAACCCAGGCGCGGCGGCAGGTCCGGAAGAAGCAGCGGAAAATCCAAAAACAGGAGCGGGAGACGAGGAGGCAGCAGCAGCAGGGGTGGTAGAGGCAGAGGGGGCTGAAGGTGCCGTAGCTCCAAAGGCAAAGCCGGTAGCAGCACCGGTGCTTGCGGCAGCAGGAGCACCGAAAACAGGTGCTGGGGTGGTGGCTGGGGTGCCAAAGAGCGGAGCTGTAGCAGCAGCTGTTGACGAGCCGAACGCAGGGGTCGAGGAACCGAAAGCAGGGGCGGACGATCCAAACGCAGGGGCGGATGATCCAAACGCAGGGGCGGATGAACCAGATAATGTGCCAAACGCAGGGGAGGAAGCAGCGCCAAAGGCAGGAGAGGATGCAGCGCCAAAGGCAGGGGCAGCAGTGGTGCCAAAGGCCGGAGCAGCAGCAGACGATCCGAAAGCAGGAGCTGCGGCAGTGGCGGCAGCAGTGGTGGTAGAAGCAGCACCAGAGCCGAAGGCAGGAGCAGAGCCGAATGCCCCAAAGGAAGGAGCAGGCTGACTGCCAAACGAGGGAGCGGCTGCAGTGGTGGTGGCAGCAGCAGCAGGAGCAGCAGCAGAGCCAAAGGCTGGAGTGGCAGTGGTGGTAGCAGGTGCTGCTGATGCAGAAGTGGCAGCAGCAGAAGGACCACCAAAAGCTGGAGCCGAGGCAAGGCCGAAGGATGGAGCAGTCGCAGTAAGGCCGAAGGATGGGGCAGTTGCGGTGCCGAAAGTAGGGGCAGTCGAAGTGCCGAAAGAAGGAGCGGTTGTGGTGGTGCCTGTTGATGGGGTGGTTGCGGCCCCACCGAATGATGGCGCAGCAAGACCGAAGGAAGGGGTAGAAGAGGTGGCAAAACCAGTGGCTGTGGCTGTGGCGGCAGAGCTTGGAGTAGAAGCAGCTGCGGGGGTGAAAGACGGGCTGAGGCCGAATGACGGTGCTGATCCCGAGCCAAAGGCAGGTGCGGTGGATGCCGAGCCAAACGTAGGTGCAGAAGGAGTGGTGGTGGTTGTGGTGGCAGGGGCGGAGGCAGGAGGAGCAGCAGAAGCAGCCCCGAAGAGTGGAGCTGCGGCTTCCGACGGAGCGGAGGACCCTGTTGGGAGAGGAATCGGGGGGGAAAGAAAAAGAAAAGGAAAAAAAAAAAAAACGAAACTTTTAGACATGAGGAAGATGGGGAGAGGAGAGGTGGAGGGAGAGGGGAGAGAGGGGGGGGGAGATGGAGAGAAGAGAGAAAGGAGAGGGAAATGGAGACGGAGGCGATGAGAGAGGGCGAGAGAAGGGGTCGGGGAAACTCGGAAATTTCGAGACAGCAAGAAGCAAGCAGTAAGGAGCAAGGAGCAAGCAGTAAGGAGCAAGGAGCAAGCAGTAAGGAGCAAGGAGCAAGCAGTAAGCAGCAAGGAGCAAGCAGTAAGCAGCAAGCAGCAAGCACACACCTGCGGGCGGCTTTCCAAAGCCAAAGAGGGAAGGCGGCGAACCACCTGACTCCCCTCCCACAGGCGAAGACGACACCCTCCGCTTCCTCCTCGGCTCTGCCTCCTCCTCCTCCCCTCCTCCCCTCCTTCCCCTATCACCAGCCTCCTCTCCTCCTCCCCTCCTTCCCATGTCGCCCCCATCACCGCCACCAAAGGCAGTAGGCGCTCCTGCATCCGTTGCAGCAGCTGGAGCAGCGGCTGCGGGTTTAAAGCCAAACAACGCCCCTGCTGGGGCTGGAGCTGCCCCCAAAGCCGCTCCTCCTCCTGCTGCTGCAGAAGCTTCTGCAGCTGCTGGCTTGATGCCGAACAAGGGCCCTGCTGCAGCAGAAGTTCCTGCGGGTGCTGGCGCTACTGCAGATTGAGGAGCGATGGAAGGAGGGACAGAGGGTGTGGGAGAGAGGCCAAAGGAGGGAGCACTGGCAGAGGCAGCAGCAGGGGCAGCAGCAGCAGGGGCAGGGGCAGCAGGGGCGGAAGACCCAAAGAAAGAGGTTGTAGCAGCAGCAGAGGAGCCAAAGGAAGGGGCCTTGAACCCAGACGCACCAAAGGATGACACTGCTGCTGCTGCTGCTGGAGTTGCTGGAGCTGCCGCAGCTGATGCTGCTGGGGGTGCTGCTGTGGGTTTGCCTTGGGAGGAGTCTGGTGATGCCGGCTTTGCAGGGGTGGGTTGTGGCGTCAGAGTGGCTGCATGTGCTGCTGAGCCGAAGAAACTGAGATGGGGCAAGGGGGAGGGGCAGGGCGGGCATGGGGGAGCAGGGCGAGTGGAAAGAGGTGCAACGGAAAAGAGTGAAAGGGGGTGTCTGGTGATGCCGGCTTTGCAGGGGTGGGTTGTGGCGTCAGAGTAGCTGCATGTGCTGCTGAGCCGAAGAAACTGAGATGTGGGATGGGAGGCGTGGGTATGGGAGGGGTGGGGCGCATGGAAGAGGTGCAATGGAACGGAGGGAGGGGAACGGTTAGAAAAAAGGAATGGGGAGAGGAACGGAGGGATGGAGGAATGGGGGATTGGAGGAATGGGGGATTGGGGAAGAGGAGAAATTGGGGGATTCGGGAAATCGGGGAACGGTGGGAATAGGAAAATAGAGAATGGGCAATTAAGCACAACTATTCGAGCATGAGCACCCCTCCACCCTCCAACTCGCCTTCAACTTAACTTTTATCGGTGCCTCCCTCCCAGCCCCAACTTTGCTCCTCAACACCCTACCCCTTCCCCCCACCACCCTCCATCTCACCTTCCACTGGCAGCAGGCGTGCTCTTTTCCTTGCCTTTCTCGCCCTTGCTCTGCTCCTCGCCCTTGTCCCCTTCGCGCTGCTGCCCACTAGCCCCCACTTTGCTCCCTAAACCCTCCCCTCCTGGCTTCATGGCAGCAGGAGCAGTGTCCGTTCCTGCTTTGGCTGCCTCTCTATCTGCCACCTTGCTGGCTCCTGCTCCTGCCCCTCCTGCTCCTCCTGCTCCTCCTCCTCCTGCTCCTCCTGCTCCTCCTCCTCCTGCTCCTCCTGCTCCTCCTCCTCCCCCTGCTCCTCCTGCTGGTGCTGCTTCCTGGCTTGGCCTGTCCTCCTCGTCCTCCTGTGGGCCAACAAACACGGGTGGCAATGACAAGAATTCACACACATTAACAGCACGATTTTAAAGTCGACTCAGAAACCGGGTGGAAGTGACACGAGTTTACACACGAAATTATCAGGAGTTATTGTGGTTGGCATTTGCAAAACGACATCCGTCCGAACCCTTCCAATTCCATTGAAATATTTCAGAACCCTCCAACCCAATCTAGACCCTCCAAACCATTCATACCCATCCAAAATCTCACCTCGAACACAGACATTCTAAACCCATGGCGGACTCTTCTAGTCCCCTGCCCACCATCCTCCTTCCCACCATCCACCAAAGCCCCTCCGCGCCTCACCTCCCCACCCTCTTCCGCCATCACCCCCTCCTTCTCCCTCCCCAGCCCATCGCCCCTCTGCTCCTGCTGCCCCTGCTGCTGCTGTTGCTGCTGCTGCTTCTGTCTCTGCTGTCCCTGCTGTTGTTGCTGCTGCTGAGGCTGCTGCTCGTTTCCTCGGCTTCTCGTCCCATTCTCCCCCCCTTCCCCACCGCTCTCCCCCTCAAAAACCTTCTCTTTCCCCTTCAACCTCTGCACCTCACTACCCCCACTCATTCTCCTCCTTTCCCCTGCCCGTCCAAAACCCTCCGCAGCAGGCAAAGCCCCAGCCATCCGATCCAACGTATCCAGAATTTTGCGGGCAGATTGCGCTGACCGGGAAGGAACGTTTGCTAAAATCTGGTCTCTTTTTAACTGCTGCAACAGCTGCTGCTGCTGCAAAGGCAACCAGTCATCTCTATCCCCTTCCCTCAACCTCCTTAAAGCCCTTCCTCTTCCCATCCTCCTGCTCCACCCTCCCTCCTCCTCATCCTCCTCTCCCTCTGCTGCTGCTGCCAGCACTGCTGGCGAAAACGACACTCTCCTTTGGCGAGTCTGGTTACCAGTCCCACCGTTACGCAGCCCTCCTGCGCTTGGAACGATGCTGCCCCTGCGCCTATGAGGAACATCAGACGGGCTTATAAGGGGTACAGCACCCCAAGGGCTTGTGCTGGGCGGGCTGGGTTCATGCAGCTGTGCGTTGCTGCGCTTGCGAGACTGCCAATGGCAACGGAGGGACAGAGGGACACAGGGACAGAGGTAAAGATGAACAGAGGAACAGAGGAACAGAGGAACAGAGGGACAGCAAAAAAAAAAAAAAACTGCTATTCATTACTTTGAACAAACACTACATCTTCGAAGTCTGTCTCACAACTCGCTCCAGAGGCTTCAGCCAGTCCCTTCCATTCCGCACCCAATGCCTCACCTTGGTTGAGGGCGTCAGCTGGGTCTGATACGGCGTCCACGCTCGAAGGCTCACTCCCTGCAACAAACAGAACCATAGGGCAATGATAAGGGTGGGGTGGGTTGTGGGGGGGTTGGGGGGGGGAGAGAGGGGTTGGGGTTGGTTTCAGGAAAAACAGTTATACTGGTTCGTAGGAACGCCCTTGCCACGTCTACAAGCAACAATTTCACTACACTCACTCGCTCACTCACTCACCTTCTCAGCCGCTTCTGCTGCTACTGGTGCCGCCGGTGGTGTTTTTGCTGCAGGAAAAGCGGCCATACTGGGTCGCATGAACGCCCTCGCGACGTCTACAGGCGACACGTTCATTCCATCGCCATCAGCACCTCCAGCGATGTCATCAAGCGTAACCCGAGGCGTAACCTGAGATGACCGAGGCGTAACCCGGGGTGTAACCCGAGGTACAACATGCGCAGCGTTAGCTGCATTTTCCCGCCCTCCCATTCCATCTGCCGCCACCCAACTGCCACTGCCCCCAGTCCTCCTCCTCTTCCCCGCCGAAGCTTCCACTCTCCCCTCTTGCCTCTCCTCCTCTCCCTGCCGCCTCCCCTCCTCTTCCTCTTCCTCTTCCCCCTCCTCGTTCTCCGCACCCTTCGCCACGTGCTTGCCGGCCGCCCTCTCGTCTTCGCCACCTGCCACGTGCTGACGCAGCAGCTCGTTCAGCCGCTGAAACTCGCGCCTGTAGGGTAGGGCCGTGACACGTCAGCATGGTGTGACACATAAGGGATTAATCAGATGCGCAAGGGACGGGGTGGCACTTGAAGCGAGCAACACAAAAACGCGTATAGTAAGGTGCGCCGCAAGCAGAAACGGGAGGAAGAGAAACAGGAACGGGTTAAAGTAAACCCAAAGTTCCCAGTGAAAGTGATTGGTTGGCACATTGTGAACGCCATCAATAACCTGCGGATGTGACGAATGACGAAAAGAGCGCCACGAGTTTACGATAAACGAACGATACGGCGAACGTCTCTGGGTTACGTACAGCGAAAGCGGCGTCCCTCGTCTCGGCAGCTGCTCAACCTCGGACGGCACCGCGCCTTCGTTCCTATGTTTCCCGTACGATGTATTCAGGATATAACCTACCTTCAAAGTAACGGGTAACATGTGAATCTGCAACGTAACGTACAGCGATAGCGGCGTCCCTCGTCTCAGCAACTGCTCGACCTCCGTCAACACTGCGCCTTCCTCCCTATGCTTCCCGTTCGCTCCTCCCGCTTGTCGATCCCGAGTATCCCCAGCACCACCAGCAGCAGAAACATTCGCTCCCTCCGCCGGCTCGCTGCTAGTTGCGCCGTCAGACGGTCGCTTGTCGAACACGGCTTGCTGCCCGCCTTGCGTGTTACGCCGGTTACCGTCTGAACAGAACATCAGGAAAAAGGTCATGCATTTTAAGCGATTTACTGAAAACGTTGATGACGGGATGCGTCAACACGGCGACTCGATACTAGCCTAGGCTGTAACAATGCTGTCTAACGCGGTTTGAAACGTCGAAAACCTACCGATATGCGTGAAGGTATAGAAAGTGAAGTAAGCGGATCGATAACTCCGCTTAACTTTTCTAAACGTAAATCAGACAACGAGAGCGCATCGTCAAAACCCACGGTATTGATGCGATCTCGCTTCATAGATATCCGTTACTTAAGATTCGTCATTGAGTACCTCGCGAGCTCCAAGGCCATCTGACAAGCGATCCAATCGAATTCCGCCACGAGCCAAACCAGCCGCTTCCCGCGCTTTCCACTCCGTCTTGCTTCGGCTCATCCCTCCTTTCACCATTCCTCCCCGGCGCTTCTTGCAACGCGTCTGCGCGGCCTTGGGATTCCCCCGGAGGTCCCGCTGTCGACGTGGCAGTTCGAATCGCTGCTGCTGCGTAGCCAGCGGCAGCGTGCCGTCCGGAAGTAGGTCTCGCGTAAGGCGCGGACGAGCGACTCGCATGGCGCTTCCCATGAGAGGCTTTCCCTCCTTTGCCGCTACCATCGACGCCAACCCATCCGTTCTCGTTACAACCAGCTTCGACCGCTTGCGAGCGACGGTACGGAAAGTCGCCGTTTAAGGCAGCTAACGGAACCGACTCCATCCTGGCAGACGAATCTATCTAGCAAAGGTAACTCGCGATGCCCAGCTCCGGGTGCCTTCGGAATCAGGGAAAGAAAGAGAAAGAAGAGGTTAGGGGACTAGTCTTGGATCAAATAGGAGAGACCAGTTCTGGATGGAGCTGTATGGGGACCTAGGAGTGAGGTGAGCTGTTTTGTGGGATGGGATGGGATTGGATGGGATGGGGTGTATGTGTGCAGGAAAAGGCTGGATGAGGCGAGTGGCTTGCAATGGCTTGTGGAGATCTCGGTGGAGGGTTTTTCCGGTGGTTGGTTTTGTGGGAGAGAATTTCCGGTGCGGGCAGCTCAAGAAACCAAGCTTGGTTATGGGTAGGCTTTACTGCGAGTTACTGTAAGCTAGAGAATATTCTTTCATACCGTTTTCCTATTTTCCCCGTTCCGGGGGACCTTGAAAGTTTCAGTCCGGACTGTTAGGGCAAAGGCTCCCAACCTGCTGGACACGAAAGCTGGCGATTTCGGGGCGAAAGAAATCTGGCCACAAAAACACTGACGAGAAGTCGTCGAGAAAGTCATGCGACAGAACCTGGTTTGTATCCGCGTTATTAACACTTCTCTGGGATACCTCACTTTTTTTTTTTTTTCGCCACTAATCAGCTTCGTTACATTTCAACAAGCATACAGACATGCATAAACCCTTCCTAGAAGTGTCTTACTAGCTCAAACATCAAAAGACCATCGCCAAAACCCGAAACAAAGTATTGCTTCCTAAGACATCTACAGCCGCATGTCGACCAAGTAGGGCACGTCCACACATGGTGCTCCCTCTCCAAACTCCTGCTCCCCACCCCATCGCTCCACCCACTCCGCCTCGGACTGACCCAACGTGTATGCCGCCCGCAAAAGAATCACCCGAGCCTGTGCCTTCTGCAAAGCTACCCCTACCGCGGCTGTCAAGGACCCCACCAAGTATTCCGAGAAACCCGAGCTGTTTGTCAGAATATTATGCTCTAGCCTGTAGTGGGGTGCTCTATAGCGAGTACAACCCTTCTAGGGTTTGCTATTTGTATCCTCATTCTTGCTAGTGCATCCCTTCTTCTTCTTCCTTTTAAACCTTTCACATGCTATCAGAGCAGGTCGATCCCCTTGGATCGATCCTGTGGGTGGGCTCACCACCTCGTTGCTTCCGCTGCAACTTCCACTACTACCTTCTGTGCCGCACGCCCCGTGGCGTGCGGCAGTTTTTCTTCCCGCCGTGCGCCCCGAGGCGCGCGGCGGTTTTCTGCCCGCCGTGCGCCCCGTGGCGCGCGGCGGTTCTCTGCCCGCTGTGCGCCCCGAGGCGCGCGGCGGGCTTCTACCCCGTCACTCGCCGCGTCGCCCTCGGGAGGCGCTGCGACGGGCGACGGGGACCCGCGCGTCGCCCCCCGTCGCCCGTCGTGGCCTGCGCGCGGCCCGTACAGCCGGCGCGCGGCCCGTACGGGCTGCGCCAGACCCGCGCGCGGCCCGTACGGGCTGCGCCAGGCCCGCGCGCGGCTCGGGCCGCCTGCGCGCGGTTCGGGAGGCTGTGCCAGGCCCGTGGGCGGCCCTTTCCTCGCTGCCCCTGCCCTCCCCGCTGTCCCCCGTGCTTCTGCTGGCGCCCCACCCCTCCTACAGCCCGTTCTCCTGAATTAGGGTTTGGGGGTGAGGGGTATGGGGGTGAAACTACTGTGTGCCGTTCCGTGCTCCTCCTCCTCCTCCGTCTCCCTGTGCTGCAGCTGCCGCTGAGGGGGGGTGGACTTGTTGGAGCCGTTGGAGTGGTGCTAAGGGGGGGTGAAGGGGGAGTGGAGCTAGCGGTGTAGCAGCGGGTGTGTGTCAGGAGGGGTGGTACTGTTTGGGGGAGGTCGAGTGGAGGCAGCAGTCTTGTCGTCAGCAGCAGCAGCAGTCCGGAGGCTACAATCTCCGGTAGTCGCCAGTCGCCCGTGGGTCCGTTGCTCGTCTGCCGCTACTTTTAGCCGCGGGGCCAGTTACCCCAGTAGTCCGGAGCGTTGTTCCGGTAGCCACTGAGCCAGCAGCTCGTCTGTGTGTCTGCAGCGTCAGCAGTCGCCTCCCATCTTCTCTCCCCCACAGTCTCTCCTCCTCCTCACTTGCCCTCTGCGATAGCCTCTAGCTTTGCTCATAATTGTGAACTTTAAACTATTGCTTCTTGAACTTGTGCTCAGAATGTGTGGTGACATTGTGATCCACCCTGAGCTTGTACTGCTTTGCTGATTACACCCCACTTTGGCTATGGGGGTGTGTCAGAATATTATGCTCTAGCCTGTAGTGGGGTGCTCTATAGCGAGTACAACCCTTCTAGGGTTTGCTATTTGTATCCTCATTCTTGCTAGTGCATCCCCTCTTCTTCCTACTATTTCACACTGTTGCCCCTTCCCACACCTTTGTTAAGAGCCACCTTTACTTGAACCTCCCCCTGCTGCCGTAACCACTGTCGAAAGCTTCCCCCCAAGCAACCCCAAGTCTCAAGAATCAACGGGAAGAAACGAACCCCCCTGTGTTGCCGCAGAAAAGGTTGATAATCCGTCGCCTTCCTCTTCTCTCGCTCCTTGGCAGCAAAACCTACTGTCCGCCCACACTGCCCATGCTGCTGCACCGGTAGCGAAACCGGATCCACGACGCTCACCTCGAGCGCATGTTTTTCCCCGTCCATTGGTTTCCTAACCGCCACATCCACTCTCTTCCCCGGCAGAAGCGTGTCATCCTCGATCGTAACCACCCCACCCGATGCCTTGGCTATCTTAGCAACAACGAGCTTCACTGCATCATGAACACGAGACGGGGCGTACTGGTACTTGCACCGAAGAGCATGGTGCGGATCTGACGGGTCCTTGAACTCCACACCGCAAACACACTTGCCAGCAACCAGAAGCTGGTGGACGGGAAGGCCCAAACGGATTGCCGCCGAAATGCCCCACTCCACAGGGGTGAAAGTTGCGTCATCATGCGCTGGAACTGCGGACACCCATGCTGCCGAACCCGGGCCCTGAAGGGAAGTCAAACGGGCCAAGGTAGCATCATCGCGGGCCATGCGCCGCAGAGACTGAAGACTTTCAACCGCCAAGCGACGCTGCTGCGCTGGGAAAAGCTGGAGGGGGGGATTTGTAGTGCAGAGCCCCAAACTCGGCAATTCCTGCCTGACAACAGGCGGGAGCTGGTCAAGGGCCTTGGTAAACCAAGGGTCCAGTAAATCCCCAGCCGGCGGAGTGCGGAAGAACTCACTGAACATCTGCTCCTCGCCCGCTACTCCCAGCTTGACAACAGCACTCGCAGCCTGGCACCACCCACAGACGTAAGAGAGAGGGCTAAGAGTTGCTGCTGAACGAATGCCAAACCCGCCCAAACGAGCCGGGAGGTGCAGCTGCAGGTGAGCCATGCGCGACCTATCAGGACTGAAGTCCCAAGTGTCTGGCGGGAAAAGTTGCTCAAAGCACTCTTCCAAAGCCCCATCCCAATCTCTGAAAGCGTCAAGAACCTCAGGACGAGGGGGAACAGTGCGAGTCAAGAAGAGCGGCCGCGCAGACACGGCAACAGCCAACAAGTGGGAGGCAATCTGGGGGTGGTTCAAAATAGGAAGCCAAGGTAGAGGTGATCGCAGCTGCAAAAGTCTCTCCCTCAAGCGCGCCACCTCCCAATCCTCCTCTCCAATAGGTACCCCCACCACTGTTAACCCCGTCCACGACTGCTGCATTCCCAGCGGAATATCCCCAGACGATGCCGCCTCCCCTCTTTCCCACATCCTACACTTGTGCGATTGCACCTCCAAGCCCACCCACTCCAGTCGCTCCCGCAAGACATCGTACGCCGCCAACACCCGCTCCCGCGGGCCAAGAACGTAGGTGTCATCAGCGTAGCTCAAGAAAAGAAGATCAGGGAAATCCTTCATTGTAGGCCCCATAACCAACTGCTGCGTGAAAGCAAAAAGGAAGGGACCAAATGGATCCCCCTGTCGCGAACCCCGCTCGGACGCCAGCATCTCGACAAAGGGGCCTGTGCGAAGGTACAGACCGCTGGGCACCCCATAAAAGACGCGTAAGAAAGGGATAAGGCCAGCAAAAGGAGAATCGCGGAGGTCGTCGAACATCACGTGCCGATGGAACGAGTTGAAGGCATTCGCTACATCGATCTGCAGCGCGCACCACGTCGGATGAACCGCTACAGCCGAGCGGAAAGCATGCGCCAGAATCTCCACCCCCGACTTAGTCCCCACCCCTAGTTGGTTACAAGGAGCGAAGTAGGTCTCCAGTCGGGACGAAGAAGAACGCATAACGCACGCGCCAGAAT